GGGCGTACGCGGGTGGATGATCTCTCTTGCGGGCAGACCTTGCGTTACCGGCTGGTCGCGGGATTGGTATGCCCGGAGTGTATACTTAGCGAGCGCACTACCATAATGCGGTTGCAACATTTTAAGTGAGCACAAAAAGAGAGGCGACGGCGCACGCCCTCGCGTGCATTCACCCACTCGTGTCGGCCGATTGCGATTTCGCTATTTCGACCTTAACGATTCTTTCATTCTTTTCGCCTTAACAGGAGGCGTGATTCTACGTAAACAAGCGGCCTGTTCTATTACTGTGATTCGTGCGCGTATCGGCCGTCTTTATCTCACCGCGTGAAACGCGCTCGGTTGGATCGCGGAGAAACCGGCCGTCTCCGCCGAGACACGATGGCGTGATCGATTAATTCTTTTATTACCGCCAAATTATACGGAGCTCGCAGTCGACTCGAGACGAGTTGCATCGCCGCAGACTCCGACTCGAATGTTCCCGATGTTCGCGGACACACTCGGGCGTATGTACTCTACCTCGAAGTGAAACCTCGAGCGTTCTCGCGCCGATTTTCTCGAAATATCGTCCCGTGGTAATTAAGCGGGATCTCGAAATAACGCTGATCTCGCGCCGAGACGATCTTCGCGAATTTCCGCTCATCTTTGATTCTCTCTCTCTCTCTCTCGACTTCCTCCGGGACTTTGCTTAACCCCGTATCATGACCCGTCCGTCCGCTCTCCGACTGTCATGAGTATCGCTGATCGTATGACGAGGGTACGGCCTGCTCGACCTTATGACACGCCGGGGTGCGCGCGTAACACCTGTCGCGCGATCCGAGGGAGAAAATCTCTCTCTCTCTCTTTTCCGCTCTTCTTCATGACGCTCTGGCTCGGCTCACCGCATTTGGCCAGAACATTTTCCGAGGACTGTACGATGCGTCCGCGAGCGCGCACGCATCTTTGAATCGCGGTAGTGTGTCATTCTAAAAATAGAGAGAGGTTGAAATGAGAGGGAAGCCAAGATGCGAGGGAACGAGAGGCGGCAGGAGAGACGGCGGAGACGAGAAGGAAGGAGAGGAGGAGAGTCGAGGAGAGGCAGGAGAAGAGGACCAGATAGAGAGGAAGAAAGAGAGAGAGAGGAGTGTGTGTGCGCCTCCATAGTCTCGGTCGTGAACCCGAGGAACGACCTCGGTGAAACGTCGGGTGAAGAGAAACGAGCGAGAGAAGGAGAAACTGAGAGAGAAAGAGGGAGAGAGAGAGAAGAGAGCGGGTTAGACGAGCGGAGAGTGTTAAGAGGCGCAATAAGGAGGCGAGGAATTGCGCGGAGAGCGCGACGCGGACAAAGAGGGAGAGATTAAATTAAGCAGCGCGAAGAGTCCGCGCGACGCGAACGCGCCGACGGCGAAATCGACGCCGGTCTGGAAATTTCGCGGGCGATTATCGCGACTCGCGCGCGAAAGTGTCGCCGAGAGGTCGGGATCCGCGCGGACGGCGCGAGCTCGAGTTCGCTCGCTACCGCGCACCACTTTCTAATTTTGAGCCCGTCTTGGTTTACGACGGGATCGAAACGCCCCCCCCCCCCCCTTTCTCCCCCTATGTTTATAAACTCTTACGNGAGACGTATGTTCGCGGCGCGCGCTGGAATTTGTCAAATTACCACCGGGAGGGAGAGCACACGGCCGCCGGCGTCTCTCCCGAGCGGCCGGGAGAGGAAAATTGATGGGGCGGGCGCTTTTCAGCGACGGGATCAGGAAGCGTTCTCTCGAGACGCGAATCGTGACGAGGGGCGAAGAGACACCTCGCCCGAAATCTCTCGGGCAGGTATTTCTGAACAGGGTTGTGTCTTGCAAACGCGAGATAGCGATAGACGATATTTCTCCCGTGGCTTTTTGATTTTCCAGGCGATCGCGTATTTACGGTGTCGCAGAGAAAAAGATAGATAGATAGATTGGTGGATAAAGATGGCGTAATTTATTCCACGCTCCGGGAAAGTGTCCCTCAAGCGTGATCACAGAATTAATAATTCCCATTACAATGCTTTTTTACAATGTAGTAGGTTTTTGAGTATTAATCCTCACCATGGAGGCTTAAAGGATCAATATAGTAAGTTGACGCAAAAAGGTTCTAATTCAAAGTAATTTAGGGAATCTTTATCTTTTGTAGAAAAATGGATCTTCCCGTGATTGATTTGGCCCCGTTGGTGAATGAAAAATATGATATTAAGCATGTCAATGCTATCCAGTGTTAAAAATTGTCATCATATATCTGGGAAAGTACGAATAGAAGAGTTATGGTCTTCACGCTCTGATAAAAAATGATAAAAAGCTGTTTATTAATAATTACAAAGAGGGAGACAGAGAGTGAAAGAGACGAAAAGAGAGGTTTGCATTATTTCGTTACTTCCCGAAATTGGTAAATTCGCAATTTGAAAATCACGATTTCGCGAGAATCTCGACCTGCTAATTGCATTTTTCCGCGAGGAAGAGAAGCGACGGGATTTTATCCCGAGGTGTTCTTTCAGAGTTTCGGATTTCATTTCGAGAGTACATTCCGCTGTGGAGGCAGAAATTCGCTACATACGGAATGGCTAATAATAGGTGGTTGGCTTGCCGGCCAACAACGCCGGTCTGTAGTCGCGACTGAGCTGCATAGAGGCGTAACTTCCGTTAATACTGCAGCTCGGACTTGGTGCTCTTGGTGGTTCTCTCGGTGCCTCCGCACATCCGCGTGAGAGAATTAAGGCGTACGACACATTCCGTTGCGATGGTTTCCGCGATTTCGTAAGCGGGGCCAGGAATTCTCGTCGCGAAGACGCGCGACTAAAACCAGCGACGAAAGCTGCTCCAGAATACGACGCGGCTATTTTCAAAGCGAACCGCGGAAGGCGAGTACACACGAATATAACGCTCGCCAAAAGTCGCAATTCCGAACTATACAATTCAGCTTAATCCGAACAAGTGTGATTCGTTACTTCGACAAACAGTACAAATCTTTCAGACGACCGCTCTCTTTTTCACCGACGATACAGTAAATTTTTACGGTGCAAGTTCCACCGTGTGGCATCCCGGCGAATCGATCGCGTCAGAGAAGCTCGGTAGCAAATTTCGCCGCGCATTATTCCACCGGCAGAAGTTGCCTAACAAGCACGTTATATATTTCCTCGACCGTGATCTTGCACGACCACTTGTGTCCGGACTTTATTTTGCATAACCATAAACCGGCGCTACTTCATCGAGTGGCAGATGGCTCGCCATGCGCGTCCCTGAAGAGCTTTCTTTGCGCGCCGATACAAGCCGGAGAAAGTCAAGTGTGTGTGTGTGTGTGTATGTGTGTGGGTCAAAGAGATCGATTCATCCGCATTAAGAAGAAAGAAAAAAACAAATAAGTCCCATTAAGTCGAATACCACTGAATAAATTTTATCAAGATATCCTCGATATCACACACTGAAAGAAAAAAAAAAAAGTGTTACGCGCGAGTAAATATTTGCTAAGGAGTTTTTAAGTACTTATTTCAGTGGGATTGAGAGTAAGTGTTACTTTAATGCGGAACACTTTTTCTTTCTTCCAGTGCGTCACATTCAAATAGTATTTACTTAATCCGAGTGAAACAATAATTACTCCAATAGTTCTTGGCAGATATTTACTTGAGCGCAGCACTTTTTTTTCTCTCAGCGCACTCGTAACGCAATCGCGGATGTGTGAAAAAAAAAAACAACTTACAGGCGCGCTGAACTCGAAGTGCTGGAGCAATAAAAAAAAAAAATTCGCCTCTATCTCGAGATATAAATTACAATCTATTCCCGCTTCGCGATTCCGCGCGCGCGGGTAATTTTTCTCTCATCCCACACTTTCTAGCTCGAAATTACATAGGCAAAAACCGGTTGTGTGTGTTGTGGTGAAGCGTTATTTATCGATCCTACTTATTTCGCGTTCCCGTTGCCCAGTTTCGTCCTCCGTGTGTTAATCTGCGCTCACCTATAAATTCACGTGCGCTTTTTGTCGACGCGCGCGGGGAAAGCTTATTTCCTCGTTATCCCGATATATACCTTCGCAGACCTCGCAGAGAGCGAGCGGATGTATCGCGAGAGGACTATTCAGACACGATTACACTTGGCGCGAGCGTCGCCGAGATTTTTCGAACGCCTCGCTCAATGGGCTGCGATCAGCGCCGTTGAGACGCGCGTTTGATTCAACATTTATTCTCGATTTATTCACGATATCGCGATATGCGCCCGCGCAAATCCGACGACGAGTCTAAGAACGATCTCTCATCTCGTCTTCCAGGTGTTCACGGTGTGATCACGCGAGGAGGCACGATGGCGGAGGTGGCGACGAAGAAGTCCATCAATGTAGTAAGTAGCAAGAAGAGCGAGGTGTGCGGTGTTCAGTCTAACAACGGCTTGATTGATTTGGATAACCTAACCGCGAGTAACAAGCAACTAATCTCGCTGTGCGACAACAACGACGACGACGACGACCTCGTGCTGACGAACAACAGCCGCAACGAGCTCGCCGGCGAGGACAAGAGCCTGCAGGAGCTGATCGAGAGCGAGCTGGCGCTGAGGATCTGCTCGAGTAAGGAGGAGGAGGACGGGCCGGAGGTCGCCGAGGTGCCCGAGGAGCCGACGATCGCCACGCAGCCGGGAACGATCCGCCGGATCGTCCTGGACCGCCGGCAGGACAGCCTCGACGTGAACGCGGAGTTCATAGCGGCGGAGAGCGGCCACTACTCCGTGATCGAGGAGCCCTACGGCCACCAAAACGGTCACGCCTCTCCAAACGCCGTCGTCGAGGACGCGAAGCCGGTGCGCGACGAGCTGGAGGAGCCCGCGACAGTCATTCGCGACGACGAGCCCGCCGGCAGCGAAGAGCTCCTCTCCCAGCCGGAGTCGACTCGTCCCGACGAGCAGGAGGAGGCCCAGAGGACGTCGTCGGACGTCCCGGACACGTGGACCGAGGAGGCGCCGGCGGACGGTCAGCAGCAGACGGGCCAGTTCTCCGACAACTTCGACGAGGCGCCCCCGATCGAGCAGGAGTCTTCCATGAACGAACATATCGACGAGGCCGACGATCTCTGCGGACGCCCGGAGATCCCCTTCGATTCGAAGAGCGTCGAGGAGGAAGAGATCGATCCGGCGATCCCGCGAGGAGACGAAAGAACGTCCGAAGCGGAGGAGGAGGCGGCTGCGAGAAGCGAGGAGCTCGAGGACGGCCCGAGCCACCATTCGGAGATGCTCGCGGAGACGGTGAGCACGCAGGAGTTCCTCGACACCGAGCGGCGCGTACTGAACGAGGAGGCCGAGCAGGAAGCGCCGCCGCCGCAGATCGTGGTGTCGTCGGAGAACGGCGAGGCCGAGCCGATGCTCGATAACGAGACGGCGGCAGAGTATGCCAAGGACGTCGCGGAGGACGCGCAGAACCCGGTGGACGAGTCCTCGAGCGAGTTCTCGGCGTCCGACTCGACCTTCATCGAGAAGACCGAGGTCGTCGTGTCGGACACGAGCGTGACCGTCTTCTCGGAGACGAAGCAGCTCGTCGGGCCGACGATCGAGATCCTGGACTCGTGGACGACAGTCGAGGAGGCCACGAAACCGGCCGACGTCGGGGAACGCGAAGACGCGCTACCGCCGGCCGGTGAGGCCGGCCGGCCGACAGCGGGAGACGATAATCACGAGGGAAAACCGGACGATTCGCTCGCGCCCTCGTCACCCCGCGCTCCCTTGGCCACGCCGGACGACGAGACGAGCGACATTTCTAACGCCTGCGATGTAAGTGTGCTTTTTCCGTGTTATTAATCCGACGACGATGGGCGCGAGCACGAGCGACCGGGAGAGTCGCGCCGTGCGTGTCCGACACCTCGACGTTATCTCGGATCGCTCACTTTCGGCCTTGAGCGCGGAGAAAACTAACCCCCGGAGGGATCGGACAGATTTTATGTTGCAGTAAGCGAATAAATCGGAAGTAACTAAAGGCCGTAAAGAGCAAAGCGCGATATCAGGTGGAGAAAGTGATTTGTGTTTAAGCTAAACTTGTTATCACAAGGGGGGAGGGGGAATTTTCGGGGAAAAAATCATTCGGAAGAACATCACGATCGTTCCTTATTTGTTTGCGGGCGTCATTAATACGCTATATTAATTCAAGAAAAGTTCACGTAAACATGCGTTCGTATCTTCGTAAAGTGAGAGCCCTGAGAGGATCAACTTCTAAATCATTAGACAATGAGAAACATCCTGTATATTTATTGATTCGCTGGGACTGCATAAAAAATTCACCATCCCTCGGAATTATTTTTCTCCGTGTGCGTACACGCACACGCGTAAGACTGAGAGTCGTGCAACTCTCGATCTGAGGAACGGCAAAGCATACACCGGACGTTGACTGTACGAGGTCTGTAATTCGGTCGTAATTCGCGTCGAATAGACGTTTCCGCGCTCATAACGTTGTCTTCGGTGTGGAATTGATTAACGATTAATTCATTAACGATTTTGTCCCCGTCGCGACACGAAACTTTACAATCGCAGTGAGCACGTAGTTAACGTCGCGCTTGGAGCGAGCGCGATTTTAATCGACGACTACATCCGTAGTCAATCGTCGATTAATTGCGCGTCACACATTGCGGTGTCGTTACGGGAGCGTTGATTATCTCTCAAACGTAAATTCTCTGATGTATCGCCGAGAGAGAGAGAGAGAGAGAGAGAGAGAACGATCGCGGAGGACCGGAGCGTTGTTAACGTCGAACGATCGAGTTATATAACGTATGTACCTTGAAATTGATAGGGCCGTTTGTGACTTCAAAGCTGGCGGACGTTCTTCGGCGCGGAGCGTCTCCGAACGGCGCGCTCGTATTGCACGTCGCACAGAGAGAGAGAGAAAGAGAGAAATGTACAAGTGCCATAACTTAACAGCGTTCAAGTTGTTTGTGTTGGATAATTCCTGCAAGCGCATTGTGGATCCGCTCCTCCTAGCAATTTCTGCAAGACTAATTGCACCATCGCTCTATGTACTCCTACGCATGTTTTTACACGCCGAAGCGATTAATCTCGTTTACCCCCCCCCCCCCCCCC